CTACGCGGGTTGTGTCTCCTCCGGGCCCTCCTCGGAGGGCCAGGCTGGTTCCCTCGGGAAAACTGACCCCCTCCTTCGCGGCGCAAAGCCCCGAGCGGGGCCTAGCGCGGAGCGGCGGTCGCGGGGAGCTCCTGCCGAGGCCAAGGGTGGCTGTCCTCGGCGCGCCGCTGCTCAAGGGCAGCCCCGGGAGACGGGTTGAGCTGTTGGGGCTTTGTGCTTAGCGTATTGGGGCCGGCTGCCGTAAGGCTGAAGTGCCTTGGGCCCCTGCGTTGCTTTGACCGAGCTTGGGGTCTGGCCTCCCTGGTTACTTTTGGGTGACCTTGGTGTTGCCTTAACCTCCTTGGTCGCCTTTGGGTGACCTTGTGCTGACCTGCTGTCCCTACTGTGCCTAGGGGCCTGCATAGCAGGGCAGACTTTCTCTTCAGCTCTCCAGTAAGCGCTGTAAACCAAAGACTTGTTTGGCTCACATTCACTCAGCTTGTTTGTGGGCGTTTTTTTGTGTGTGTTTTGCTCCTCCGGCGTGAAAATGACATAGAAGTTTGGGACAACTCTGGGGGCCGTATTTGGGGCCACACTGCACGAGGCATGGGCTCTAAGGCTAATAAATGAAGAATGTGCCCTGGTACGTTTGCTGTGGCTTTGCTTGTTCAGTGATGTGGACTACTGTTAGGTCCACAGACAGCTTAAGCATCACTCAGGTGCCAGTTAGAAATAATAAGCCCGTGAGGTTTACATTTGCTCTGTAAAGATCTTCATCTCCAAAGGTTCATTTTAGAACGCACAAAACTGAAAAGATTTGAAAATCTGCATGCTTAAAGTGGAGAGGTTAGGTAACATCAAGTGTGATAGTTATTATATACACAAATTTGTGCTGGAAGAATGAAATCTGAGTGTCAGCTCAGATTCACTTAGATCTGAGTGTCAGATTCACTGAGTCTAGTTTGTTTGTTTGAAGAAAATGACCTGTATTTTTTATTTTGTCTTTAGGAAGTATTCAAAATTAATTAAAATGCCTTCCACCAAACCGTCAAATGAAAATGAAACACCTAAAGAGAGAATCCCAGGATTGAGGGGTGTTCGAACCACCACCCTCTTCCGAGCTGTGAACCCAGAGCTCTTCATTAAACCTGTAAGAGGCTCCTTCAGGAGCAGCTAAATACGCTTAGAGAGACATTGTTGCTTTAAAATAATAAGCTCGATTCTTTGTGCATTATATAAGCATCTCTTGTTATGCAAACCACACAGTAGTGTAACTAAAAATATTTGGTTTTTTACAGTCTGATTGTTAAGTGCCCAGAACATTATATTGTTTATATCCGTTTTTTACTGCACCATTATATTGTCCGATCCTTTCGTATCTAATTGAACTTCTTTCAGGAACACTGCTTACAGACATGCTGTCCTTATCATGGACAGGTTGAGTAATATGAATCCTCATAAATATTGAAAAGGGAAAAAAATCTAAAATACATGTTCTTTAATAATAATGAACGGGAATTTTTTGTAGCTTCCAAATATTTGGTAGATTTTTCTTTTTCTCTCTGTCTCTCTCTCCTTATATATACCCAGAGTTTTAAGAGTCTGTAAAAATGTTGGTGCCCTTCCTTGTGTCCTGTAGCATGCTTGCTTTCTCCTGCTTTCTATATTTGTCGGTGTCATTATATATACATATGCAATCGATATCTTGTTTATTAGACAAGTTAATAGCTGTTTAAAAAAACCAGTTTCATCTTGCTTGATAGCAGGTACTCAGCTCATTTCACTGATCAGAGGCACCTGATTCCATGCTGTTAGAAATCCCACCAGTATTACTAGCTCTGGCACCAACTGTCTCTTAACATTCATAAGGTGGTAACTCAAAAAACTAAATGTTAACAGAAAAATAGTGAGGCAATATTTGCCTACTGTTCCTGATGCAGAGTTTATTAACCATTGTGATGAGGGAGGGTGACATGGCAGAGTACTTTAAATGGACTTTTATGTAGGATAGCAGTGTGATTTAAACATTTCAGCCCATTTTCTTGTTAAAATATTTGCTTTTATAATTAAATTCGTGATACTTGTTTTATTCGCACCTACAGAACTCAGTGCTATTAGCAAAACTGGGTCAAATTCTGTGTATATAATAAATCAGACTTTGTGACAACAATATATGATCAGTTTCAGAGAAATAAAGTCACTTGGCAGGAGCATAGTGCGTTGTCCCACAAGTATGTGCAGCCAAATGTTATTAGAAGCTCCCACCAGCCATGTGCAGTAACTGTTTTTGGCCAGTTCGTTCATGCTCAAGCAGTGTTTGTACCCAGGAAAGGACAGCACTCTGGTGAATACCGTGTTCTGTCTCCAGAAAAGGAGAGCCCTCCTTTTCAGAGGGGGCTCCTGTTGCTGTTATAAAGTCAGGTCTCCCTCTTGCTTTTCATCCAAGCCATTTGGATCAGTCTACCAAAAAAGCAATGACGATCTTTGCAAATGATAAAATAACACTGATTTGCACTTTCTAATCTAAGACTGAAACTTTGTGATGAAGAAGAAAATGTTTTGAGTACAAATGCATACTAATCTCTTTTTTTTTTTGACAGAACAAATCTGTGATGGCATTTGGACTTGTAGGAATTACCCTCTGTGTGGCCTACCTTGGTTATTTGCATGCAACAGTAGAGAATAAAAATGACCTCTATGAAGCAATTGACAGTGAAGGATCCAGATATATGCGGAGGAAAACTTCCAAGTGGGACTGAAGGAGGAAGGAAGGATATATGCAAATCAGTCACAGAGATTTTCAGTGCAACTACCATTATTTTCTCCATCCATTGAAATGATGGATAAATGTCTCTCTTGGCATATAATCCAATTTAAGTTTCATTTTAAATTTCCCCCTATAAAATAAATTGTAATTAAGATATATGCAAACAGTAAAGTGATTTTAATATTTGCTGCCTGGGATGCTCATAAGCACATTAGTGGAGACACATTTGACTCTCATGTACAGACTAGCGAAGTAAATGCTCACAGGAATGTACTTGATAATTCAACTCATTGTTTGATTAAGGTGAAAGCAAGGGTTTGTCCTTTGTTTTTTGAACAGGAGGTGTATTACATCATCTGTGAAAAGGATAACAGTGATGTCTTGTTCTGCTGAAAGATGACAATTATAATTTTGCAATTAAAATATTTTTAGAGATAATGTTAGATTTGGTAGAGATGTAGAGATGTTGCTGATGCGTTTTATTTAATAAAGGAAATTGTAAAATACAGACCAAAAAGATCCTTGGATTAGTCCATACTATATGGGACAACCTTTCTTACTTCTTTGAACTACTTTTTTCCTCACTTTCTGAGGAAATGAAACTTCAGCCTTTTCTTTATCAGTTGTCTAAGCTCTCATGAAAAGATTTGAAACAAGAATACACCCCAGCAAGTTTTATTAAAAAAATAGCCAGGTAGAGGAGAAAAACTTAGCGCAGTGCTGCAGCCAAGAGAGGCAAGGAAGAACTCAGCCACCGCGCAGCAGAGCAGCGAGCGCCTTTGCATGGGCTCGCCAGGCAGCGTGTTCAGCACCGGCGGGTGAACGGTGCAGGGCCCTGGGGTTGGAACTGGAGAGCGCTGCGTGGGACAGACCTGGGCTGGAGCCGGTGGTGCTGTGAGAGCTACGCAGAAAAAGGGGTGATTTTGAAAGAGAAGAGTTAAGTAGGAGAAGGTTCAAATTTGTGAGAAGTCAAGCATTGTTAGTTGTGTAACTTCTTGTTTCTAATTTGCATTTCAAAAACCACTTTCCTCCAAATTGCAAACTACCTTATATAACGTTGATTTATTATAAGTCACTGAACTGGGATATGGAAAGTCTGTGTTCACTGGGTCCTTATGGGCACATGAAGAAAAGAATTCATCAACGTGAACAAGCTCAGTTACTGCTTGTGTGTTGGAGGGGACGAGGGGATGTGGTGGCATTTACTGAGCGCATGAGGTGCTCCACACGTGACCTGCCTGCCTCGCGGGGCCTTGGGCAAAGCGGGCAGAAGCGCAATCAGTCATTTTCAAATATTTGAGAATAGTGTGGGGTTCGGTTTCCTTAAATGCCTTAAATCCTTAAATTATGTTTCGTGAACTGAATATGGATCATTGGAAGGTACTGAGAAAAAAAAGGGGGAAGGAGGAAGGTCTAGGACCAACCTGGGCAGAGCCTAGGGAATGGGCTTCATAAAAACGTGTCTCAGAGGGGCCCTGTGCCCTGGTGGATGGAGCAATGCCTCCCTGACCAGACTAATCCAGAACAGTCCTGCCTGGAGGAAGAGTGAATGTTCACACTTGTTCTTATTTTTAAGATTCTTCATCTTTATCATGGGAGCTGCTCTACAGGTAACTCTCTTAATGCTACAGAAATTATTTATAAAAAGTTTAAAATCAATTATTATACAAGTGCAAATGCAGAGAAGAACATCAATGGAGGCTAAAGTAGTAATATGGGAATTTGTTGTTTTAAATACCTATTTTATACACATAAAAACTGTGTGTTGAGATTAAAGCAAAAATTCCCACCCGAGCAAAACCGTCAGCAACAAAACTTGTTCACAGAGCTCTTGAGGCAAAGCTCCCTTATGCATACAGAGGATAGGCAAGCAACACAGTACGATTTATTCTATCCTGGTTCTCTCAATTCTATCTTCAGTATCGTAATCAACATTTATGAGAGATGAGAGCTGGCTTGACAGGAACTGTACGTCAAAATAATTTCCTGGGCAGGGACTTTTTTTTCAGCTTTTTGTCATCTCCTCATTATGCTCTTTACCACCTACAGCAACAAAATGCTGCAGTTCAAGTATCTGAAACAGTGACTAGTGCCCCATTCTTAAGATCTCTGCAGACGACGACATGCCTGGAATGGGAATTATTGACATTCAGAAAAAAACACACAAAAACCGGCACGAGGCCCCAGGCGGTGCCGCTTACCTGCGATCTTTGTGAGCAAAGCGAGCTCTGCCTGGTAACGGTTGCCACGTCGAAGTTGCACTAAGGCTGAAAAGGGGTCACTTTATAGAAACCCCCCTCATCACCTGCCTGCAGCATGTGACTGACCTGTCAGCATGGCTGAATCTTAACCCAAAGGCCAACGTTTCAGATAACGGGGGAGAAAAATAATGATCAATGATTTTTTTTCTCTCTGCGCTGGCTTGTGTGTTTTCTGTCGCAACAATAAGCAGCCTGCCTGCCAGCAAGAGAGCTCTCCAGAACAGAGTCCTGACGTTTTAGCGACGGTGCTGCAGAACGAGGCTAGAATACCGCAATGATCAGAAACCCAGATTTCAGCTGCTTTGTTTGCTGTGCTCTCTGTTCAAAAATATTATCAACACCACCTTCCCCTGCTACCTTTGATCGGATTCGGGAGTATAAGCCTTTCAAAACACGGTATTACACTCATCAGGATATACTGGGTAAGTTTCTGAGATCCTTTCCTCGCAATTTGGGATTCAGGAATTCTCGAAAGGCTGCTATACCTGTCCGGTCTTGAGGGTCGTGGAAGAATTCACATTTCAGTAAGAAATAATTGCACTGTCCTTCTGCACGTCTGATGGGGGCACCGAGCCAACGGCACTGCCGCACGTGAAGGCATTCAGATTTGCACATGCAGACATTTTCTAAGGCTCATACAGATTGCAGAGAACTAGATTGCACTAAAATTTGTGAGCATCATCCCCCCATCCTGCAGCAGGGCCCAGCTGGGATACTCGATCCTGAATCCTACCGTCTCCCATCTGACCCTGCCAGTGACTGATCTTGAAAGTCCGTCAGGGCCTGGTACAAGCTCTATGTAAATCATCAGAGTTTTCCCTTGTTATCAGTACCGTTGGGATTGAGAAAGCAAGTTTTTCTTTCTGTGTTAGTTTTAGCACAGTTACCATCTCAAGTCTCTGTGTTACAGCTGTGCTGAGCATAACTTTAAAAAAAAAATAATTTAAACATAGCTAGCGCTTTCACTGTGGGAAAAGGCTAAACAAACAGCTGACTCTTCAGAGTGGGATGCCATACTGACATAAACACGCTGCAAAGCTGAGGTTTGCTTTCCCTAGCATGCCGCAGCTGAAACTTCAAGGATGAAGGAAAACATATGGCAGCATTCGTATGTTCAAGAAAGCAGCAAGAGTGTGAAGCAACTTCATACGCTAGGCCTAGTTATCATAGACGTTTCCGATCAGCAGTAGGGAGTTCTGTTGAAATCGGGCTGTGTTTTTCACCTAATGCTCATTGCAAGAGGGGTGTGTTTGGTTTCTGTTTTAAACAGTATCAAGGTCTTTGAAAGCGCAGTCGAATGAAGGCTGTACGCATCTCACGACACAAGGCCTCAGGACTTTTCTGACATAAACAATGTAAAACACAATCAGAAGGCCTTAGAAAGCCTCCTTTTACATTATTTTCTTTGTGTTTGTTTGCTGTGCACGACCCAATCATGTTGATTGTACAGAGATTGGAGCAGGCATTCATTTTCTGCATAATAGGAAGGAAGCAGAGATACAAGAGATTATGGAAAAAATGAAGGCTGAACTTTGGACACAGGTAAATTTAATTGCACTACTGTCATTTAAATGATGGTGATTCTTTGGACTGTTCATTGTAGCATAAAGAGAGGATACAAATCTTTGAGGTTATTGCTCTGGAGCTGCCATTAAATTCAGCCTGTGCGTTGTTCATAGATTTGGATGTGCACAGATTTCCCCTGTTCCTCATCTCAATAAAGCGTACCCTGAATTAATAACAAATTTTACATCTGTTCAGAAAATGGCCTCTAAAGCACCCAAAAGTTAACAGCTGGTAAATCTGTTCCATACACTGCTATGTAAGATTCTCAAACTGCTCTTTATATTATATCTACATGGAGTGATCACAACTGTGACCAGCTTTTAACAGTAGTCACTGTAATAATACTGTCAAATAGGCCAAAATGCATTTGGTCCTATACATTTAAATTTAACTTGTTCTAATTTTTAAAATCACAAAACTATTGGATACATAACTTTTGCTTCATCTTTATAGCATGTTAGTAGAATGCTAGCAACTATATTCAAATAATTGCTTGTTTTAAAGGCTGAAATGCACACAGAAGATATGGTGGAGAAAGCGCTTAAAGAGGCAGCAGCAAACCACAATGCATTTGTTCAAGACCTTAAACAAAAACATGGACAGGAATTAAGGGTATGAACAGGTTTGCTTTCATTATTGTGGAAATAGCCAGCATGACAATATTATCTTTTTAACAATCCAGACTTTATTTTTTATTTATTTATTTATTTTAATATTTGCACATATCCATGATCTTCATTCATCTCGGATTTGAACTTTAGTGTCAGGTGAAACGAAGAGCCTGAAAGATTTACACCAGTAGGTTTTTTTAACTTGTGCCAAATAGGATGTGACCTTCATCTACCTGGTTCTCTAGCTAATTTTCACTTTTGGGCCTCAATTCAGGCAGCCACTTAACATGATTAAGTGCATTTCCTAAGGGCAGTTAAATGTATGGGCTTAATTTTAAGTTTGTTCTAAAGCTTCTTGTACATCAAAGCTAGGCAAGCATTTAACTGATTTGCCAAACCTGTAGCCTGGATGGGGCGGTGCTGAAGGAAAAATGCCAATATAACACACATATTTCTAAATTAAGCACATCTTTAGTTTTTAATTCTATGTGTATTCAACACATGCTTTCCAAGGCTTTTTAAATATCTGAGAAAAGACTCAAAGACACCTACTAAGAGAAAGGAAGGCGACTGCATTCTGGAATGGAGCCTTCCTGCTTTCTGCACAGTTTCACGGGGCTTTTTTACCGATAGAGCATCTGAGCACCCTTCAGTGAGGCCTTAAGCAGTAAGTCTTACACTGTCATCGTCAGCCTTGCAGCCTCCTCCCAGAGCTTGAAGTACACACAGAGAATTGCTGGAGTGTTTTGCTTTGGAATTTTATTTTATACAAGTTCCTAAATAGCTATCTGTTTATACTGCCAAGCAGTCAAAGCAATGTGCTTGGCATTTCAAGAGAAAAAGCAGTTAGCTTTACAGTGGTCTTAAGTTTCTGGCAGAGCCTGTTCCGTTGTATGGAGCTGTTTTCCAAGAAAGCTCTGTCGTTTGCTGTCATAGCATCTGCTGAGGATAGTTAATAGAGCATCAATTCCTCTTGTTTAACTGTTGGAGCACTTTCCATGAGCCTATTAACTATTTCTTTAGACCCAACTGCCCGGGATTTAGACACACTATTTGTACAGATAAAATTAGCTCCAGTACCTGAGGACTAAAGAGCAGATACAAAACTCAGCGAAATTCAGCATTTTTGCCTATATAGAAAACAAGGATGACGTTCCAGGCTGTTTTGAGGTCGGAGCAGGGAGGCTAGTGCCTTGCTGCTGGACACTAAGGATGCCAAGGAGCCCCAGGTAACACAGAGCAAGGTCTGTGCTCAAGGGCCCGGTGCAGTCAGTCCATGGGACCGGTGTTGAGCAGGGGGCTGTGCACGGAGGCAACTAGGAAGCATGGTGCTAAAATTGCTGTTTTCACTACCAGAACTGGCAGCCTGCAATCACAAAGACACCAGGGCTTTTACAGGCATTTTAAAAATAGTTTCAACATTTTATTTGGAGCATATAAGGGACAGAGTGTTAATTACTGTGGATACCCCCCCACACACAAAATTCCCTGCTGGTGACATCAGTCACCTCTGTTATCTTACGATACTGAGCTGCTAACTATGTTCTGGCCTCTCTTAATAAAAGAACATAAAAAAGACACTGTAATTGCTTGCGATATATTGCTGAAGTCCTTTTTTTTACCCTTCTTGCTCAAGGAAGCGGTGAGGAAGGCGAAGGCCGAGATGCAGGAGGCCATGGCGGATGAGCAGAAGAGGGAAGTGGAAGCAGCGGAGCAGCGCATGCTGCACAGGCTCCAGCGGGCCCTCCTCGAGTGCGCCCACGACAAGATGCAAGCCGTGGCCGAGGCCAGGAGGCAGGAGCGGGAGGCGGCCTGGAGCGAGACCGCCCAGCAGCAAAGGTGCTCCCGGGGATTCCTGGGCCTTGGCTCGCAAACACCTTGCGCTAATGAAACCCGCCGGGCTCGCGCAGCGGCGTTGAGCAGGGGCTGGTCTTCCGGGAAAAGAGGGACAGACCCTTTAGAAAAACTGTTCTTGGAAATGTAAGGTGACCGGCAAGACTTCCAGGCGCCCTCTCTCACAGACTCCACATAGAATCATAGAATCACAGAATCACAGAATGCTTAAGGTTGGAAGGGACCTCTAGAGATCATCTAGTCCAACCCCCTTGCACACGCAGGGTCACCCAGAGCACATGGCACAGGACTGCGTCCAAGCGGGTTTTGAAGATCTCCAGAGAAGGAGACTCTACAACCTCTCTGGGCAGCCTGTTCCAGTGCTCTGCCACCCTCACTGTTAAAAAAGTTTTCCTTAAGTTCATGCGGAACTTTTGATGCTTCAGTTTCCGTCTGTTTCCTCTAGTTCTTTCAGTGGCCCCGTTGAAAAGAGACCAGCACCATCCTCCTCACTCCCTCCCTTGAGGTACTTATAGACACTGATCAGATCCCCTCTCAGCCTTCTCTTCTCCAGGCTGAACAGGCCCAGCCCCCTCAGTCTCTCCTCATAGGGCAGATGTTCCAGGACCCTGATCATCCTTGTAGCCCTGTTTTATTTTGTTTTGTTTTGTTTTGTTTTGTTTTGTTTTGTTTTGTTTTCTTAAGGCTGATTTACCATATTTAGCAATAAAGAACTCATGAGCTTATTGGGCCCTTCATGATATCTTTGCAAAACCTGAAGAAATGTGTTTATATGGAGAGCTAGAGGCTGTGGAAGAATCTCGTTATATACACCCTTGGTAATTAAACAGCTCGGATTTCACAATAACATCACAGCCTTCTCCCTTAAGAGTAGAACATGTTTTATTTTTGACAGCACGACTAGCAGAATAGCCCTGGTGTGCCACAGTGAAAAGATCAGCTCTTCAGGAATGTTCCTGTTTGCTGGGAGTCTTTTTAGTTAGTAAAAAAAACTAATTCTTTACATTATATTTTTTCATTCAGAAACAAGCATCATTAAAATATTATCATGGAGAAACATGTAAAGTTAGAATGTTTTGCAACTGGACACCCAGCTACGTTTTTCTGTCAGTAGCAGCCTGCTCTGCTATTCAATTTCTGTGGTCTTATAGGAAGCTCTGATTTCATGTATATTTGTAGTTGAATAAGAAAAGTTTTTACAGTAACCTAAATAGACTTGAATTGTTTTATTTATTTTTAATGTATAATTTTTGATAACAGGTGTTTCCTACAAATCTCTCTTTTTTTTTTTCTTTTGATAATAGAAAGCACTCAGACAAACTCAAAGAAGCAGGTATATTAGCTGAGGAAGTTTATCTTAAGAACATAGAGCAGTTAAAGACAGAAAAAAATAAGGAGATGAATATTGCCCTGGATATCATACAAAGGAAGAATCAGTGTGAAACTGAAAAACAGCTCAGAGAAGCAGAGTCCCTACATCATCATGAGCTGGAAAAAGTGATGATGACTCTGGATGCAGCAGAAGACCAGGTGAAGACTCTCATCCAAAAACTGGACAGAATGACAGCTTGGAAGGACAGTCTGGAAACTGAAATACAAGCAACGAGGCAAGCTTTTCAAAAGTATATTGATGCCACATTTCCTAACCTGTCTCCAGGACAAGCAGACTTTATTCTGCCACTCAGAACAACATTGCAAGAGAAAGATACCCCAAAAGAAGCAGAGGAGAATGACAAGGAATATAAGAGAGCTGGTACTCGAAGTGCAGCATTCACTGCGAAGGTAACCTAGAATTGCAAATAGGCAATACTGAAAAAATAAATGCATTTCTGTTCACTAAATTATCTCTCTGTGGTTAGAAAGAGACAGAGAAAAATAATCCCTGCTATCTTAAATAACTATATTATGCACCATGCTTAGAAACTATCCATTAATCATTATTTTACAAGTGCTAGGGCAGAGATTGGAACATACAGCACATGAAGAGGGTCCCATTCTTGAACTCGAGGAGGGTTCAGAAAATCTGTCTCACAGTGAAGTGCTCGGCCTGTGAGGACTGTTGGCTGTGCCCCTTTCCTTCTCCAGTGTGCAGTTAGACACAGGCTCTGAATGCCTCCCACTTGGGTTCTGCGGCTTGCAGAGTGGTAAGATTTTATTCAATGTCATCTTAATGAAAAACACTGTGGTGTATTCAAGTGGATTATTGCATAACTTTCGCTCTGTTTCAGAATATGGAAAACACAGAATGATTACTGACAGCCATAGTCTTAAAAGAAGTATTATTATAAAGAAGGCAAAGATAAATTTTCCATTCTCTCATCCAAATTTAAAACATCAGTGTTGCATTAACTTTTTTTTCTGATGATTTTCTGCCTTTCAGTTTTTAAATTAAATTAAATTTCTAATTGGAGCACATAAGATTTTCTGTCAGGGTTCTCCAAATTTCCAGAGTGCTGTGGATATTTTACACTATCGACAGTTATTAAGCAGTGTATATTTATGCATGTGAAATCTTCTACTATTAAAAATAAGATTCAACAATACAGACTAGACAGAAAAATAGGTTTGTCTACAGAGGGGAAAGAGACTTCTGTCGAGTCCCTATTTCTACCCTGATACGTACAATCTGCTGCTTGAATGTTGAGCTGTCTTTGAGAAATAATTGTAGGACCATATGTAGTATTTGTGGAATAGGAAACAGGGCATCAGCTGTTCCCTCACAGGATTTCCTATTCAGTGTCTGGATTCATTTTGTCTGGAAACAAGGACTGAGTATTTCGTGATCGAATCTAGATTTCTGCAGATCCTTCCAGTCTCTCCTGCAAGGCTGCTGGGTGCCGTCCTGGCCTGGCACTGGCTCTGCAGCTCCTGCTCTGCGGTGCCAAGGGTCTCCCCGCAGTGAGGGCAGAGCATCTCGGCTCACTGCTCCTGCTCGCTGGCTGCAGGATACGGCTGAGCCACAACTGCTGAGCAAAGGGGGTTTGGCCATTTCTTTGCTTCAAGCAAGATCTTTTGGGTTCTCAGACACTGAATAGCTGCTCCTTCCCCAGGTCCATTTTTGAAAGCGAGAGGTACGTGTTTGAAAGCACATCTTGTTTGAGGGACACCACCTAGGCAAAGAGCACTTGCCTGGGGGACAGCTCAGGTGTATCTGTTCACACGCGCCTGCAGCCCGGGCTGCTTCAGACTGTTCTCTACCAGCAGTACTGGACCTGAGATGCAGCCTGCCTAAATGTCTGATTTGCCTTCACTGTGTATTTTTTAAAATTCTTTTTCAAAGCGTTTTGCTGAATATTCTCTAAAGCTTTGTATTTTATTTGTTACTTGTTAATCTGAAAACACTGTATAGCATTCAGAGTATGAGCTCGGGGGTTCAAAGGAGCTTGTCTTTCCCTTTCTGTAGTCGAGTACGTTAAAGAAAGCTCTCTGCATTCATCTTGTTTAGAGGAACTTTTAAAAGCATAGTTGCTGCAGTCTGTTTTCCTCAGGCTTGAAAAAGAAATCCAGAAAACAAAAAGTGAAAACCATCTCACAGAGCTCCATCACTCTATGAAACGAAGAACTGAAGACAAATGAAGTAACAGATTTCTTGTAGAACAGTTTAATTTATATAGAATGTTTCAAGCAGATGTTTGCCATGCTCTGGCACTATTTCTAACGTAAGTGTCTGCAAAAGCTTAACCTCACTAAACTGTAGAAGCTTCTTTTGCACAGCTAATGATCTGTGCTCATTGCCCTTCTTATAATTCAAATGAAAAGAATCTGAACTTTATTTTCACACTTATCTAATCAAATGCATAAGCTGCACAAGCCCAAGATAAAACTCCTGCTTATGCCCTAAAGTTCTGTGGTCTAAAACATTCATAAACTCCCTAAAACTATTAAAAAAAAAAAAACCCTTTACATGTGTGTTAGGCATAAAGGTCGTTGGGAACTACACCGACAAAATACTGGAACTAAAGTACTAGCAGCTGCATCCTGTAATATGGAAAGCTGCCGAGCGCTCCCAGTTGGATTACGGGATAAAGTGTTCACCTCCACGCGCATGGAGCAATGCGGATGCACCCTGGCTGAGGGGGCCCCCAAGAGCCCCCCTGGAGAACGGGCAGAACGGGGCACTTCTGGATTGCACAAGACACTATGGGATGTTTCAGGGAGGAAGCAAAGGTGGGGAAAGGCAGAAATCGCAGTGGGTTGGGGAGGAACAACAGGGGAAAATTGGATGGATGACGGACCTGGGGGTTGGCAACTGGGGGGATGAGTTGTAAGTCCGGACCAGCTACATTTTATATGTATATTCCACTGATGGGCTTTCATCCTGATCAACCAGAGAGAAGAACAGGATGAGCACAGGATGGTGCTGTGTCTTCATAAGTGCTGTTTCAGTCTGTGATGATCTATATGGCTGGCTTCGTGCATATATATATATATGTAGTCTGTGTGTGTGTGTGTGTCTATTGGGAATATATGCCGGCGGGCATGGGCCTGGCGCTGCAGCAGGCTTGCCTCAGGTGGGCTGTGGGAGTTACTAACTCCTAACACTCAGTCCAAACACGTATCCTGCAACTTGCATGTCAGAGAACCAAGCTGAGGATGAAGCGCTTCAACCGCTCATCAGCAAGCATTTCATGCCCTCTTATAACCGTAGAAAAGTGGAGTTTTTGTTCTTTTCCAGTAGGAAGGGTAGAAGGTAGTCATCACAAACCTGCAAAGCCTTGCTGTTCGTGTTTCCTTGCCTGTCCTGTAGGGTAAGGCCACCTTTTACCTGGGGTTCAATGGATGGGTAGATGCCTCGGGGTCTGCTCTTGGGGCACACTGGGAGGCACGTGGCATGGGGTTGGGATGCAGGGCCCACTCTGGGGAGGCTTCACTCCTTGAGGTACACACAGCATTTAGCAATTTGTAGGACAGTTGTGTCGCTACTCGTTGCCCTTTGGGAAAGGCCATTTTTCTTCTGTTTGCTGCTTCCAAGCATATCCATAAGTAGGTAGCTTTGCGGTATAAGTAGATAGACAAGGGAGCAAGCAGCAGTGTCACATTTGGGCCTGGAGAACCATTTACCATGAGCACTGTTTATTTTAAGGAATTATGTTAGAAAGTAAAGCATCTAGCTAAGCCTGGTGTTTTTTTTTTTGTTTGTTTCCATACTAGTTGTACTCACTGCACAGTATTAACCATGGCCCTAAGTGAACAAAAATAAAACTTTGTCATACCCTATATGTAGGTTTCTGCATGTCAGATGCTTAATTGCAATGAAATCTGTGAGTGCATTAGCTGTTGGTGACTAATAAAAATTGGGACTTCACACATACAAGTAGTCCTTTCATCACATGGAGCAGAGACAACGTGTTTGTTGGCCTGATTTTGCTTCTGCTTGCGAACGATGACTGCTTGAAGTACCCTGCCCACCTCACTTGAATGCTGCATCAGAGCATGAATGAGGAATGTCCGTTTGGAAGATGCAAATGAAGAACCGTTCAGATAACATCACAGAATCATAGAATGCTCAAGGTTGGAAGGGACCTCTAGAGGTCATCTAGTCCAACCCCCCTGCACACGCAGGGTCACCTAGAGCACGTGGCACAGGACTGCGTCCAAGCAGGTTTTGAAGATCTCCAGACAAGGAGACTCCACAACCTCTCTGGGCAGCCTGTTCCAGCGCTCTGTCACCCTCATTGTCAAGAAATTTTTCCTCAAGTTCCTGTGGAACTTTTGGTGCTTTAGTTTGCGGCCATTACCTCTAGTTCTGTCAGTGGCCACCAGTGAAAAGAGGCCAGCACCATCCTCCTCACCCCCTCCCTTGAGGACACTGATGAGATCCCCTCTCAGCCTTCTCTTCTCCAGGCTGAACAGAGCGCCTCTCTGGACAGGAGGGTATCGGTGATGCCTGAGTGTATGAAACGAAGCCGCGGGAAGCTGTAATGCTCTACCGGAGAACGCAGGAAGCAGGTTATCTCTATCAGGCATTGAGGACACTCTTAAAATTACCAGAATTTTTGTGTCTCAGGAACAGTGAAACCTTCTGTTGAAGAAAAAGCTACAAAAGACTGAAAAGTGGTTTGTTTAATTACTGTGGCTGAGCAGCTGAGTTAATGGGGAGCTGCAGCATGTGGCTGGTAAGTAGCTAATTAATAAACTAGGGACATCTTGCTGGCTACTGCCTCAAAGGAAGGGATCTGTAGTGTCTTAAGAGGAGGAGAAGCAGATTGCCAGATGAGCGACAGTTCAGTGTCGTGTTTGCTGATAGTGAAAACATGGTGGAGTAAGGAAATATGAGTGACTAATAATAAACTGCATCAAGTGACTGGTGGGGGATGCAGATGCTGGTACAACTAGTATTAACAGTATTAATGTTAGTAATGTTGTCTAGCACATAAGTTACACGTGTGTTCTTGGAATATCTAGGAGAGGGTTTTGTCTGAGGAAGTAGCAAGAGTGTCCGGGGGAGGGACAAGTCGAGGCCAGCAAGGTCCCCAAGGGCCAGCAATACTGATAAAAACATACTAATCAGTGAAGAAACCCATGTCTTCTCCAGGGAAGACGCTAGGACTGGAAGGTGACACCTTCTAGCGTTACCTTACAATTACTTTATCTTTCTTTGCTCCAGTGAGATAAGCAAGAGTTAGACAAGCAGCTGAAATAGCAAACGCTAACAAAGTGATTCCAAGTAGAAAGGTAAATAAAAGAGCTGTATCCCAGCTATGACATGGCGTGTCCAAATCTTGAGTCTTTTGTAGCTGAACATGGATAGTTTTCTCCTGATCTTTCCTAAGCCTGTCTCTAGCCTGTCT